CAACAACCCCTTTATATCCCAAGGTGCGAGTGCGGCAAAAAATGCATGATGCACGATTGTTGGGAAGAAGCTGGACGCCGCTACTGGGCGTATGAATAAGTTTTATAGGCAACCTGACGAACCTACATGCAATTTTGAGGTATGGATTGATGAACCCTGTGAGCAGGAATACTACAAAGACAAGTTGTATTTTCTTCATAATTTGTGTACGAAGCAGTGGAAAAGAGAGAGTCAATCCAAGCAAGAAGTTGCGGAGTTGAAGGCAAAACTCAAGGAGGTGGAAGAAGAAAAAAACTGGAAGACCAACGCAAGTGGTTGGAGCAGAGAATACTAGGCGGTGGTGACAAAACAATGACATGTACGTGTTGAGCGTAGTAGTGTATCTTTATGTTTCCCTTGTCGTGTGTTTTCATTACTTGTACTGAATTTATGTTTTGTTAGGTTTGCTATTTTTGTGTTTGTGTCGTACTTTTAAAATAAAATTGTTGTTCAAATTCTGTTAAAATAAAATTGTTGTTAAAATACAATTCTTGTCATTATTTACATAATGTAGTATTTACACAAAATACAAACAAAAATAAATCAATGAGTCCCGCAGCCTGTGTGCTTCAGTGCAGCCTCTTACCTGAGTTGCATCCCTTGTCGCCTGGGTACACTATCAGTATCATCATCATTAAGTCGCATCTTTATGTGAGGATGTGTAGCAACATCGACAGTACAGCTGGCAGGATCGGTAGAAGGGGTTGTCGGGCCGTCAGCAACCTACCAAACAATTACTAAACTTAGCATATGAAAATGTATATTAGTAATGTACGTGTTAAGTCAAAAACATTTTCTCACCATGGTCTCGTTGGCCTCTTGAGTATAAGCATCTGTGGTGTCCTCATCATCGCATACAGTGGCCTTCGTGATGGGCTCGGATGAAGCCTTAATAAGAAAATTAAAAATTAATTTATGGTAAATCATTAAGGAAAAGAAAATAAATTGAAATTTTACAGTAATACAAGCATACCTGCGCCTGTGATAGATCCACATCAACCGTCGAGGATAAGCCAAAACTCAACCTATGCCGCCATCCACGTTTCGGGTCAGCCGATCCTCAGCTGCGGTAGATGGGCCTGAAAAGAACTGGTCTACATCTCCGTCGAATGTACCCGTGATCAACAATAGATATGATGGGATGACCTGCGATGCTAGCAGAGACAGCTGAAGGTTGTACAATGACATGCTGCTGGAAGGCTCGTCTAGCTAAGGGAAATAACCCGGCTGATCATCTCCAAGATCCTCATCAGGTGACTCAACAGGTGGGTCGACAGGTGCCTCAACTCCCCCTTGCTGGGGACCACCTCCTCGCCGTCCCCCGCGACCCTGTGGGGCACCCCTGCCTCGGGGACAGTCCTGCCTCGTGGAGTAGCCCTGGCTCGTGCCCGACCCCTGCCTCGTGGGACAGGCCTACCCTGATGGTGATGCTCTAGCCCCGCATACTCGGCCTCGTGATCCAACCTCCCGTCCTCTATGGCTCGCTACAAGGTCCGGAGAGCCAGCTCTTCCACCCGCTGGCCATACTCAACGACCACAGCATTGTCGGCATGTTGCTTCATCTCCTGTACTAATTGGTAGAACATGTGATGCCCAATAGCCTGCACAAGATTTAAAATATTAATTACATAGCGCTATATCACAGTTATAAGTGGGTTCCAACAATAACATACCAGTGCCTCGTGCCTCCCGGCGTATGGTCTGAACCGACCACTAGGTACATGAACGTGGTTCCCGATCATCAGTCGGGTGTGACGGCGGTACCATGACGTATAGAGCTTAATAGTCGCCACCTAGATCTGTGAAGGTGGTGGCGGAATCAGGTCCTCTCACTGCTCCTAAATAAGGAACTGCGCCTCTAGCCATCCTACAAATGTGTCGTCCACCCTCGAACGATCATCCCGCTGATAATGAGTAGCCACCCATCCAGGCTCCCTCGGTATAGTCTGGGGATGGTCAAACTGGCGAAGTACCCGCTCTGTGGCATGATGCTCCACAACATCGAGGCACATCAGCGGGACGAAAGTGCTCTAAGGCTGTCGGTCGACCGAGCAATAATCGGGCAGATCAGCTAGCAACTCGTTGTTGTATGGCGTCCGGATGAACTATAAAATAATAATATAAAAGTAAGTATGTGCAACACAAGTGAATTTATAATAAGTAAGTTTAGGTACATATTTACATGTGCGGCCTCTAGCAAATCTAAGACATCCCTGACAAGGGGGAGATTATGATAAGCATCACTGCCTCGGTAGTTCCCACACCGGAGAACCCACCTCCTAGTTAGAGGGAGAAACAGAGGTGCTACACCTAGATCTAATGGTGGTAGAGGTGGCTGCAATGGCGAGACTCGCTGCCAGGCCCAAACCTAAGATAAAAGGTTGACGTAAAATTTTAGAGTCATTTTGACTATATATAATTCGAAGTAATGAACAGAGTATTCGAATATGTTGTCACCTGTAGAAGCGGCAAAAAATCACATATGTCCACCTGGGTGCCCATGGTAGCCCAGCACATACTCTTGTACAGGTAGGCGAGAACAGCAGCACCCCAGCTGTACTGGGGTAACTCATCTAGCTACTGGAGATAATGTAGAAAGCGTATACTCACTAGATTTTCCGAAGTGTTCGGGAACAAGACACACCCAAAAAGCGTATACTCACCCTGTGGCCTAAAACTAGTATACTGCCCCAGCAAATCCAAATACTGGGCACGCATCATAGCTCGCATATACTGGAGCAGTGCAATGGCTAGTCCATCAACACGCAACCTATATAAAACCTGAACATCCTGAAGCGTGATGGTGGCCTCTCTAGTGGGTAGGTGAAAAGTGTGTGTCTCCGGTTGCCACCGCTCTATCAACGTCGTGATAAGAGACCAGTCGAGCTGCAGCGCCCAATCTCAAAATCCTAAGGAAGCTCGTAGCACACAGGCGATGGACTATGCGGGGATGGAAATCTCTTTGCCTCAAAAAGTCCCACAAGTCGTCCGGTCTCGTGGCACAGAGACTCTAATCCAATAAATGTCCCTCCCATACGTAGCCGGACCTATGGTCGTCCTGTAACACTAATATCTTACCTGAGGCTGGTCCAGGATGCACATGCGGCAAGTCCATGTCGTCTACTGTAATTTAAACAATATTAATTGTGTGTTTGTGTTATAATAATTAATATTTAATTATTTAATAGGACAGAGTATATAACTATGTGTTCCAGGCTTGATAATTGGGGCCTAGTAGCACCAAGCTATCCTGAATTCTTATGTGTGTCAATTTTAATATTTTTAGGATTTTGTTTGTGTTTAATAAATTAAATAATTAATTATTTAATTGGACAGAGTAAATATCTATGGATTCTATGCTCGATATTTGAGGCCCAGTAGTACCAAGCTATCCTTAATTCTTATGTGTGTCAATTTCAATATTTTTAAAATTTTGTTAGTTTAATAAATTAAATAATTAATTATTTAGTTGGACAGAGTATATCACTATGGGTTCCAGGCTCGATATTTGAGGCTCAGTAGCACCAAGCTATCCTGAATTCTTATGTGTGTCAATTTCAATATTTTTAGAATTTTGTTAGTTTAATAAATTTAATTGGACAGAATAAATTTCTATGGGTTCCAGGCTTGATATTTGAGACCCAGTAGAACCAAGCTATCCTGAATTCTTATGTGTGTCAATTTCAATATTTTTAGAATTTTGTTTGTTTAATAAATTAAATAATTAATTATTTAATTGGACAAAGTAAATATTTATGGGTTCCAGTCTCGATATTTGAGGTCCAGTAGCACCAAGTTATCCTGAATTCTTATGTGTGTCAATTTTAATATTTTTAAAATTTTGTTAGTTTTATAAATTAAATAATTAATTTTTAATTGGACATGGTATATAACTATGAGTTCCACGCTCGATATTTAATTTGACAACATATACTAATTTGTTAGTTCTGTAAGTTTATTTTATAAATTAAATAATTAATTTTGTAAAGTGTAATTGGATAGAGTTTGTAGTTAGTAGATACTTAAACTACAGAGACTCTACGCTAAAAGGCTCTATATTTTACTGCGCTAAAAGGCTCTATATTTTACTACGCTATAAGGCTCTATATTTTACTACGCTATAAGGCTCTATATTTTACTACGCTAAAATGCTCTATATTTTACTACGCTAAAAGGACACTATTCTTTAAACAAATAAATAATCTAAACTAAATAAAAACAACAAACATATGAACGTAACATTCACGAAATTACATATAAAACATTAAAAAATATTTGTGAACGATTTTATTAGCAATAAAAATTATTTCTCAACTTTTAACTATTTTTTAAAACACTAATAATTTAATCCGGGTAAAAATAACATACAAATTTAATCGCAAACATAACACAAATCTACGTGGAAACGCATTCAAGAAAACAAATATGCATATGCTCTACGAGTTTCGATATAAACTAAATCGGAATACCTTGATTTATGTTTTTTGAAATATCGGAAATTTAAAATTTTGAGCCCGAAAGAAGGAATTCACAACAATCGAAGGCTTGGGTTGTATTCGGGACCTACGCTCTTCACTTTTTGTGTGATGGGTGGGCCCAAGGATTTTATTTTTTTTTAATCGGAGGGGGGGACCAGCAGAAAGGGGGGTTTAAAATAGAACCAGTGGTTCTGTCGTGGGGAAGAAGACGGACTTATATTTTTTTATAGGAAAACGCAGTATAGTACTATGTTTTCCTAAAACGTAGTACTATACTGCGTTTTCCTCTAAAAAAAATAAATTATTAAATAAAATGTAATATTATACTGCGTTTTACTTTAACGGCTAACTTTCCATTAAACTAAAATGCAGTATAATACTGCGTTTTAGTTGGAAATGTAACTTCTTCTTTTTTTACTGTATAATGGTATTTTGAGTCCAAAATACTATTATTTAAGTTTCGGACTCCTCTATATCTTAGGGATGTATTATACATCACCTACATTTGGATCAGCTATACATAACTCAATTCCTGCATTTACTTTTGTCATGGCTTCTGTTCTGACGTATGATATACTAGCTGTTCATAAAATATCATGTAGATCACTAGCTGTAACTGTTGATTCTTGTATTATTTCATACTAAAAAGGCAGTCAGTGCACTAAGCTTCTGCTATGCGCGGGTCCGGGGAAGGGTCCGACCACAAAAGTCTATTGTACGCAGCCTTACCCTGTCTTTCTACGAGAGGTTGTTTCCACGGCTCGAACCCGTGACCTTCTGGTCACATGACAACAACTTTATCGGGTATTATTTCATACTAATTCATCAATATAAAGTGTATGCCTGTTGTATATCTCAGGCTAGAAGAAGTGCACTTTAAGAGGAGGGATGGCATGGCAAAAATTCTGGGAACCATAGCAAGTATTGGAGGTGCAACTATAATCACTCTATACAAAGGCTCTCCCCTTTTAAAATGAAGCAATTTTTCTGCAGATATAATTACTTCTCCAGAGAAAATGCTGAATAGGATATGGGGTTGTGTTTACTTCATTGGTCAGTGCTTATCATATGCTGGTTGGATGGTGGTTCAGGTAGCCCTCGAGATCATTAACATTGTTAAAATACTATGACAAGGAAATTTATTAGAAGTTACCACGTAGCTGCCTGATTGTGGAATTACACTGTATTTGTTGTTGTTATTACCACATAGCTGCTTGACATAACTTTACTAGAGTAAATGACCATTTGTATACCATCATTAGTGTCTTATGAGTTTTAGTCATGTCACAACATTTACTTTGGGTTCAATGTAGAATTTTTTATCTTGCCGAGATTTATATTCCAGTAGAAGATCAAGAGAATTTCTAGTGTTAGAGAAGTTTTGTTTCCTTTTATCAGGTTTTATTTTATCCTAATATTGGACGAAGATGAGCCTAAATGGAGTGACCATTTGAAATTATGGTATAATTGTTTTTGTTTTTGTATTGTGTCTCATGAGACTTGGTAAAATATGCAGGTTCCTCTGATGAAAAATTACCCAGCAAAACTGTCACTTTCCTCATTTACATGCTTCTTTGGATTAATACAGCTCCTAGTTATAGCAGTTTTTATAGAAATGGGCATGAAACATTGGCATATTCAGTCTGTTGAGGTGGTTTTTATGATTCTATATGTTGTAAGAACCCTAAAACTGAAATCATCCACTATATTTCTACTTGACTTAAGATGGCACCAATGAGCTAATATTTTGAGTGCTCAAACTGTGACATTGTATTAGGGTATTGCCAATTCCGGAATTGTATATTTTCTAATGACTTGGTGCATTCAGAAAGGAGGGCCAGTTTTTGCTGCCACTTGCCTGCCTGTGCAAACAATTTTAGTTGTTGTCATGGCATTTATGTTTCTTGGTGATCAGTTGTACTCAGGCGTGTAAGTCAGATATAAATGGGAAAAGAATAATCAACATATGTTATGATTCTTGATCAATTTCAAGGGGCACTCATGATTAATTGTATGCAGGGTATTTGGGGGGATTCTGATTGCGGCAGGGCTTTACCTAGTCTTATGGGGTAAAACAGAAGGGGAAAAAATTGCAAGGGACTTTGATCACCTTTATTGTAAGCAACATAAACAATGAGACTAAGAAAGCTTCTGAATGTTAAACATNTTTATTGACAATTAATTGTATGCAGGGTATTTGGGGGAATTCTGATTGCGGCTGGGCTTTACCTAGTCTTATGGGGTAAAACTGTAGAGGAAAAATTTGCTAACCAAGATGACGAAGCGACGACATTGAGAACACAGCTTCTTGATCATAAACAGGGAAGAATACCATGTTACAGCTCACACCCCAAAACAATTCTTCTGCATACCTGATCTGGGAGAAGACTGCTGTTATTATTATGCCTGTATTTGTAAATAATGATTCTGGAAATTAGAACGTTAGCTTATAAACGTAAATATAAATAAAATAGAAATTAATTCGAGCCCACTAAATTCACAGTGTTTCCTTAAGGAATTTAATCCCCTCCTAGTACCCAAGGTTATGGATTATTTCCTCCCAGCATAGAACGAACTACACACTGGTGTAGCGGTACTTCAAACCCCAGTGTTTCAGCGAATACAAAGTTCGACAGCAAATTACACTTACAGATGCTTTGTTTGTAGTTTAAAACAATGCATTACAAGGGAGGAAAACTCAGAAGTCGAATGGAAATTCTGAGAGGAAGGAATACAAATTATAGCCAACGTTGAGTTTTCGGTGAAGAGAAGATCAATAGCTCTCAATTCTGTTTCGGTGTGTCTTCAACAAGTTGCTTGCACCATCTATTTATAGTGCAGTTAGCTGCTGAACACGGACCCGCTGCCACTCATTTAATGGAGCACTTGGCCATGGTGGACGGAGCACCAGGCTGCTAACTAATGGAGCAATCACTTGCTATTATGGAGCAAGCATTTGGAAATGGTGGGAGATTGGAACATATCCGTTACAAACACGGATATTATTACGTTAATATTTACTATTAACAAATAA